TACATGAGATTTCATTTTAAAAGCCCTCGTTAAAGTGTCAACAATCATACCCAGTCATACCGGCATCAAGTCAATTTATTATCCTATAGTAAATTCGATAAAGCACTTTCGCAACCTTCAATTGCTCCGTCAGATAATTATGCGAATTAACAATTTACAATTACTGTGTTCGATGTGATACGTTATTAATGTACATCTTTTATTAAATACCCTGAGGATATAAGAGAGATTAATCAATTATGTACCTACTTTCACCATTGCTGACTTTTTACGTCGTTTGCTTCATATATTAATGCATATCTATAGTAGTTTGTAACTACTATTGAAAAACATCTAAATTGGCTTTCGAATACTTCTCTTCATAAAAGTTACTTTTACTATATAGATATAATTTTAAATACTTTGCATATACTACACATTTAAAATTTTTAATCGAACAGACTGTTAATTGATGGATGGACCGCACTGTTGCCCTGTCTCGTTAGCATCAGCTTATAATGCAACCTTGAAATGTTTTTGCCTTGTTCTGAGAATAATGTTCAATGTATACTTACATCTATTTATAGAAAATGTTCCATTTAAATTAATCGTCTTCAACTACAATACGTGTTTTATATTCTTATTGATTCATATTATTTTTGGATGACTATAAGTTTTGCTTTTATATCGTCTTACATTGATTAATTTTATGTTAATATTAGGACCATTTATTTCATTTCCAGTAGAATATGTTTTAGGAGTTCAAAGCAAAAATAGAATTTCATTTGGCTCTAAATATGTCTAATAAACCAAACAAGTATGTCTAATGAATTTATATAAAATATTTTCTAAGTTTATACATGGTATTCTGATTAATTTACTTCTCATATTACTACCTCTTCATTACGTTTATCCCATTGCTTCGAGGTTTGGGTATATCCTGTTCCTCCACTTATAGAAACCTTTTCACCCATTATAATCTATCATTACTCTCCAGATACATATGTTATATTTTATATGTCCCTAGTCTAACTATACCAATACATACAGACAATAATATTGTGTCACAACACTAATATCCGTGAAATAAATACAAAAATTTTGTCTACGCTTATTACTCAGCTTACTTTATAAACTTCTTAATAGATTTACATTTATTAAATGCTACTATTCTTACATTATAACATTCGTTAATGTATGAAATCTTACAAATTGTAGTTTCGTAATAGTCGTAATACATTTTATGTTAATTGAATTCTTACAGAATTTAACACTATTATATTTTATGAATGATTTACATAATTACTTAAATCCTGTTAAATATGATGCGACTGATCTTAGCCGCGTTATATTGAAATCATATTCTTACGCAGTTTTAGTAATATCTTATTACCAAAAGTGCCTAAGCTTATGGATGAATTTGTCGAAGCCGACAATGCTATAGTTTTTACATAAATTCTACTTCTATGGGTACTCTTAAATGATTATATACTTGTTTCAAAAGTTAATCCTAAATTACATCATTGTTTTACAAGAAATCATCAAGTAAGTGTATGCAAACAGCGTGATAACAATTTAATTGATTACAGTGACAGTTCGCTGTCTTTGAGTTGATAGTCACCTATTGTTAAATGTAATAATTAACATTAAACATAAATATAGTCGGGAGACAAGGTCAATAACCAATGTTGATAACGTCTCATACCTACATACCTCAAAGGGAAGAGGAAAATCATGTTTCTCTATTTAAAATTGGAGAAGTTTAAAATATAGAAAATTGAGACTAATATGTTTAATAGTAGTTTTTATTCTTACATCCGATAGTCACAATAACCGCTGAAAATCAATCATGTTATAATTATAAATTTAAAAAGATCGCATGCTTGGTATATATATGTATTAACTAATTTTAGTATGTACATATCAAAGTATAGATTGAGGTATTATTAGGTACAGCATCTCTTTAAATTCATCTCAATGTGCGGTTTGTTGCTCTTATTAGCAATTCCAATATCAACTGGTCTGGTCATTTCGAAATTATCGATACAGTTATAAACTGTCCCCAACTTCTACATAACAGTTATGCTGAATACACGAACTATTTGTTCAACATCTGTAATTTAAATTGCAAATAATGATGTTATGCTACTGCAGCTTTGTTTGCACTGTTCAGGTCAAACTTAGTCGTATAATCAAGATCATACATGATTTTATTTGACGGTACTCAAACATTTTGCTAGGAACAATTTAGGAAGTGAAAAGGCTGTATGAAATGTGATATACATAAAAGAAGACTAAGCCCAGACAAAACGATGGATTGGAATTAGTGTAAAAGAAAAATTACTACTGAGCCGACCTCGAAAAAAAAAGCAAGGCAATAATGATAATTTTAGAAATAATTTCTTATTATTACTATTTACAAGAGGTGAACTGGGAAGTTGTATAGCTATATATGGAAAACAAACGAATATCAATCAATATGCGCCCTCCTCAGAGTCCCTGTGTGCATGCGCTACCATATTTGGACCACATACGGTTATACAACCTTTTCAATATATTTACATTATTATAAGACTTACTGTTTTCTTTACTACGCGAACCTCTTCGCAAATCAAGGGTATTTTGATTTTATTAATATTAATTTTAGTACAACATTCAAATTCTAATTTAATATATGTAAGCCAGGTACCAAATTTTAATTAATAAACAGCAGACATTGTTTAAAAGTCATTGTAGATACAGTTACTAGATATAAGCAGGTAAAGTGTCATTATAATAATCTCTTTTCTTATTTGAACCTAATGATACTGTTGTATTACTCTATTGGTGAAAAATGCATTAAATTACGTTGCATAATTAAAAGCATCTAAGCGTACAGACAGCAGCAAAGAATTTAGAAGGATATGTCTAGATCTCGTCATAAGACTTGAAATCGTGCCACTTAGGCGTACGATAAATATACTAAGACGATATGAGATCTGCTTGTAAATAATATACACGGTACGTTTGTTCTCAAAAGTATATCGCAATATGCATTTTGTAACAAACGTAAGAAAGTAGTAGGTAGATATTCCATTTTCACGCTATAAACACTATATTTTCAATTACCATGCTTTTAAATGTTTCACAATATTATATCAACGGATCTAAAACCACATATCCGTTACAGAAACATTGTTTAAAGCCGTCCTTCATTTTGATTTGTTTAGTCTTTTAAGTGGCACTCGGAAACTAAATTTAGCCAAGAAGGCCCTTAGCTATTACGAGCACACTATTTGAGTTTATGTAAATAAGTTTTGTTATGACTGTCTGACATCCGACCACGATTATAATGGAATCAAGTAGCATTCGAATTCGAATCTTATACCACAAAGATCTTATTCACAACGTTCGATTTCTAATTCCGTTATTGTTCAAGAACTTTTTGCTCGGTGTCGGTTACTCTTTTTACCGGACGCTGAGTGAAACTTTAGAGTTTTACAACTATTTTCACAAAATAACGTACAACACCTCTAGAGCTTGGTAAAAAGAAATCATTGACAACAGTGGTTATAAATTGTTTTTTGCTAATATTACGTTACGCATTGTGTACTTGAGAGTATTTTTTCTTTTATATTTTCTTTGCTTGTTAATTTTTAAATGGCCTTCAATTATTAGTATTTTTTTTTTAATTATGTAAATAAATACGTATTGAATCCAGTAATGCAGTTATGGTAAAGAACTGGTTTGTGTATAATTAAGTTAAAGAACACAATCTTGTAAACGATATAACAAAATAACAACTTAATGAAGAAAGGATGCATTAACAACTTCATTGGGGACAAATCCGTTTTTCACAAGCCAGGAAGCTACTAATCCGATAATTGTCGGAATTCCATTTAACGTCTCTTTCGGTACAGCCCAGAACAAAAGTAGAGTGCAATTGTACGTAATTGGTCGCCAACGATTAGCCACTTGAGTCCGGGGTCGAGTAGCTCAAGCGCAGTTCAAATATTATCCTGAAGAGGTATATTAAAAGCATTATTTGCTTCTGTGTAGTTTGCAATCAACAAATACATATATAAATTTATCGATTTATTCTAATTGAGAGCAGAAAATATTTTCTCGTTATTATTTCTTATGTCTGCATTATTATTATCATTAGTTGACGCGACAACATTTTTGGAATTATCTGTATACAGAATTGATTATTCTGTCGCTAATTTTGTTACCTATATAATTTATTTATGTAGGACCGGATCCTACTATAAATACATACATTGGTACTACAATTATTCAAAGTAGTAACAAATAGTAAACATAAGTTCTATTAGTTCAAATCGCGATTATGATAAACGTTTTGATAATCGAATAATCTAAATATTTGGTATACGAAATAGAGGTGTTAAGGTCAAATATGTTGTTATTTAGGTAATATCGTATTTTTATAGTATTAGAAGTTCATTTTTTACATTATAAAAATTGTTGTAACACAATATTTGAATATTTATTTTAATAATATTTCACGTACCAGTGCGCCAGCTATATCTAAGCTTATACACTATAAATCAAATAGCTATGGAAATTTAGATTAATTTGTATTTTGTTCTAAAATATAAGCATAGAAGTTTCGTGTATACATCAATAGATTTGGCTTTATCGCGCTATTCGGTAATGGTAAACAAATTTTATTACGATGTAACTGCACAACTTGGACAAGTCACGGCATAGCTATGCTAAATGTTGGTCGTACACGCAAATATAACACTAAGCTCACTGTTGTAACTTTTGGGTCACACATAAATTTTGTTCACGAATTACGAATAAATCTATGTCAAATATGATTTAAAGAAGAAGAAAGTTAAAGTCTATTCCAATGGTTTTGCTTTAAGTTTCTTTTTATAATGGAAATTGTAATATTTCGGAAACCATTTACAGGCGAATTGTATAGATAAAAGAAATTAATAAGAAGATATCGGTACAAGCCAGGATCATCAATATCCGTACGAAATATATCTTTAACCAAATCATTTCTTCGTCAGGTATCCGCTAAATATTGGCCACTCGTTTAAAATGACGATAGATAGAGCTGGTCGTCCTCCTGCCCCACGTAGAGTTTCATCAACATACAGGAGTTATGATGAACTCGGAACGTTAGACCGCGCTAGACCTTTGCGACATCGTCATGGTGGTATAGAGGATTTGACTGGTATAGAAGAACGTAAAATGTACCGATACGAATTACAGAATTTAGACGACATCACAGTTATAAGCTCTGAAGAGATACAAAGGCCGAAAAGAAAAACCATTGAAGGTCTAGCAAGTGGGTTCAGAAGAACATTTTCGGTCCGAAGCAGAAGAGAGTCTGAAGGAATACCGTTAGACACTTTTAATGAGACGTGTGAAGAAAATTTCGCAACTGTTAGGGGTGCACCTTTTGGGAGACGGCGGTCGTTGTCAAGAGATAGAGGATCATCTCTGTTAGCTAGAAGTTCATCAGAAGGTGATGTGAGGATCCCTATTCCCCGTGCACCGCCCGCAGCTCCAACGCCACGTCTGCATCGCTGCCTTCGTGCACTCGGCGGCAGTTGGAAGAACCTTCTTTTATGTGAGTCCTCATTCTTCAAGACATGTGGTTTAATTGCTTCGTATTAACGTAACGTACACATGTAAATGCTAGTTTGCGGCAGTACTTAATTAACTCCATCTATTAACTAGTCTAAAAACACGAGCAACGCGTAAACATTACTCTTAACCTTTTGAAATCCGGTTACTCTTCTCATTATTCTGTTATTTAGAAGGCAGTTAACCGTTTACATCGCTTGCCCTGTCTGACTTAATTATTGGACCGACGGGTACAAATGACCAAGAGAAGCTTAGTTAGTTTAAACCAGTGATTAACCACAGAGCTTAACCGAATTAAACGCTTTCTTTTATGTAAATTAACCAATTGTTTGTACTGCGAAGGAGAATGGTGATTAATTAGGATTAGAGCATGACGCTGAATTTTTGTCGCTATTTAATTACTTTTTTTATATAATATAAGCACACTTCAATTGTAATTTCCACAATTTGTAATTATTGAATAATTAATATAAATGCCCAGTATCATTTAAAAATTATCGTTTAATTTCAGCCTTATACGATTGTAATATTTAAAGCGCTTAAAATCTACAGTTAATTCAATTGTAATTAATAGAGTAAACGAAACTGCTTATTATGGGTTGCTTATTACTACTTATTACTTCTCTAAACGATAAATTCTGCTATAGTAATAATATTTTTACATTTAATGGAAACAGCAACAGCTGTTTTTCGGTGATTTTGGAAAAAGCAAGATTGTTATGAAATATATTCTGAGATAACCTTGGCAATATCATGATATAAACATTAAGCAATATTGTTTTACCTTACTAAGTATAAAGGAATTTATGAATATGGCATTATATCTACGCCCCTGCATTATCGACACCTACTCGTACTGTGTAGGAAGCGAATACATGTAATATAACTTTGTATGTAGCTATTTTACTGACTATTATGATCTTATTACGTGTATTTATATGTAAATACATATTATTGTTCATAATTATGTAGAACAGCTCACTTCATACAAACAAGTTTCTATTGAAGCGCCTATGAAAACTGTTTACTACTACTTCCAAGTTTATAAGAGTATAATCATAGGTATGAATTAATAATTAACTTTATTTAATCAAAAATATAAAAAGACAAACATAACCGAAGTAAATCTTGTACTATAAGTACCTCTACTTCTATGTCCACATATTTCAGCCGCCGAGCAACCTGCTTTGTAAGATGTGTTGTATTTCGCTTGAAGATAAGCCATGACATCTAATTACACTGGAATGGCAACGGGTGCAAACGTTACCTATCGTTATATATACATGGTGTTGTTCGTATATATTGATACGGTGCCACTTACCATCAGGTAGGCCATCAGCTCGATATCATTCCAGTACATAAAAACCACCTTTGACTGCATAGCTCGTAATTGCATAAAAAGGTGTTGCTGCGTAGTCATTTGCTAGGTTACTACCTATTTTTAAACGTAACCCGCAATAGCATAAATTAGCCGTCTCGTAATTGCGTAGAAAGTCGTACAAGTGTGTAAGGTACTTGCATGTACTTACAAACGTGGTCGTATCAACCCTTCACTGCGAACAGTCGCATTAAGAAAATTGCCTTTTTAATTTTCCGGTACAGTGACGCGGCAGTGTTCTGCAATGTTACGTTTTAACTACAAAATAAGTTTATATTATATAAGTTCATATTATAAGAGTCAAGAGACCTTTGTACATTAAAGTGTGCAGAGTATGCGTTGTATAAAATAAACTAATAACTGTATTATTGAATTCTGTACCGGACTATATTGTTACATAACAGTGTTATTGCAATATCAATTAATGTGATTATAGAGATGGGCCTTTCTTAATGGAAACTTGTCTATTGAAATTTGTATATACAAAATTGAAAATATAATATTAATCGATAGATAGTTATAATATAAATGGATGAACAAGAAACCAAATTTTCCCTTATTTTTCAAAATACAACTTTTAAAAAAATGCGGCAGAGGACTGTTTTGCCACCCTACTGTTTTTTCCACCCCGAGGACAGTTTATATCAATGTTTATTTGAAGAAAAACACAGTATTAATTATTAATTGCAATTATATAAATTTTCTTCTTTATTTAATACTGTATCGCATATAGAAATTTTCATTTTCATGAATGTGTGCCATCACAAATTTGTCAATTCGCCTTCTTCCGTGTCTATGTATCAGCATATTCAGTGTTTCTTACTAGAAATTTAAATATCAAGATGATAGTGTAATTCTGTTTTAAACAGTACAACGTATTGTGGGTCTCCATTGTGGAATCCTGTGAGTTGTCCATGTTTTCACTTTCAGAGTCTGTGTAAATATCATCTACGTTATGTTTGGTCTTGTTTTTGTACTCTAATCTAAATTGAAATGCTGGCACTCGTCTTCACAAGTGCAACTTAAACTTTTCATTATGAGTTTCGCGGTATGGAGCTAATTAACTTCTTAATTTTCAGCCTTAACTTGAGTATTTTTATAGAGCCCTTAAAGTTTTTTAAATTAACTGTTTCATTTTGAATGTCGTCTGTTTGATCGTGAACAAGTTAATTGCGGAACATCTTCGTTCATACATGTCTCAAAACTAGTGACGACGACATCAGCGGTTCTCTTGCTCCAATGCCAAGTTTTTGACTATGAGCTTCTGGCGAATCACGCATTTGGGTAAGTTTAGTGTTAGGTGTGTCCACATTTTCCTTTGTCTTAGCTTTTTCTAAATAATTTCTTCCTATATTTCTCGGATTTTTTTCTGTAATACTCTAACTTTTTGTCTTTATATATCAGAACGCTTTCTCGCATTACTTGCATCACTTCGCGGAGTGGTCATATGGTATTTTCTCGTACAAAATTGTTTGTAATTTCTTTCAAAGCTTTTTTTTTGCTTGCGCGATAGATAGCACAGTGCTTTCTCTATTCTTTAGTCACAGCTTTGTGTTTACGTCGACTCATATCATAAACTGACTTTCTTGTACCTTTTTCCCTCTTTTCATAACGAATACTTTTTCCTTATGGCTCTCTTTTTACTGGGTCATTTTTTAGCCGTTGATGTCTTAATGCAATGCTCTTCTATTTCTTCTTTGGTTTTAGGTTTCTTCTGTGGTGACATTGCGGCAATACTTAAACAATAAAACATACTTTCAATATATAAAAAAACAGTAATGGTTTAGTTACTAGGTACGTATTTTATTTTATATTATAATAATAGAAAAAACAGACCTGAATTAGCGGAACAGGCCAATGTAAATAAGGAAAATATTGGCAAGCAGTAGGTTAGTGCAGACTATAAAGACTATTAATAAAGTGTCAAATAAAACAGTCTTTGTTGTATTATAAATTTCCAGAGGACTGTTGTACAGAGGACTGTTATTTTTACGTAAAAATGTCATACCACGTATCAGTTTAAATATTACTTCACAACACAGAAACAGGTCTAAATTATCACTCTGAGCAATTTTTTTGTTAAATAAATATAATTATAACACATAAAACACTGTAAAATATACTTACCAGAGGAATGTTCACTCAACATTACAGAGACGTGGCTCCCACACAGACGCGAAGTTGTCACTGCGCAAAATCTTGGAGACTTGTTCAGCATGACGACCGAAAATAACTGTTAATGTTCCATTTCGAAATATACCCATAATAGTGTTTAATATTTTTGTGGCGCGATATTCAAATTGTGACAGTGGACTGTTCACAAATGTATCGGACAAAATTCGAACACTAGCTTTTAGTAAAAAAAAATCTCTAAAATTATCATTGTTTTATGTTCACATGCATTCAATATTCTTTATGTTCATAGACTTATAAGATTTTACATTTTTAAATACAACTAATAAAAACCGAACCGAATCATACTCGATCCGGAATTAGGACATAACAGAGGACTGTTTTTAGTGACTTTGACAATTTTATAAAATAATTATGATTTTAAATATTGATTAAGCTTGGCTCCTTAAATAACAGGTTATATATTATGTGTTTTAATAAATAAAACTATGCATTAATGAAGGCAAAGTAAAAAAAAATGCTTGGACCATGATTTTCCTGTTAGTGGAGAAAGGCCCATATACAATTTTAAGTAATGGATAAACAAAATACAATTTTATGGCAGTTTTGACTACGCCCGACTGCTCATAACTTAGTGAGTTTTATATGTACTTGTATTAACATAATAGCCTATGTCACCCTGGAATAATGTATCTTTTAAACAGTTTATGCTAAAGGTCTGTCAAGTATTTTATGAGTTTATCCATAACAAATCTTATTAATATTATAAACGTGAAAGTTTGTGAGTATGCGTGAATGTTTGTTACTCTTTCACACAAAAACTACTGAACGGATTTTGATGAAACATTACAATAATATAGACTATATATCAGAATAACATATAGGCTATAAATTTAATGCGGGCGAAACCGCGGGCACAGGTAGTATAGAATAACAATATTATACCTCAGTGTAGATATGTGTGATTGTGACTTTTTATTCATTTATTTAATACATTATTATTATGTATATTTATAAACCCTTCAGTAGAAATGAAAAGTCTTTGTTGTTCCACTTTTGCTAATTAAAGGATTCCAGCCCCCACGTCACTTCTAGCCGCGGTACAGTAGCGAAAATAATATGTCTAATATTGAAGGGGAGGGAGTTTTGCGGCTTGTCAGCGACTATTCAGTATTCATTGCTGACGATGGGATGACAGTAGCTTCTGTCTTTTAGCAAAATTGCTTTTGTTAATATACATAATATATTTCTGTCGCTTAGCATTAGAATAATTTGATATTATTCTTACTGTACGAAACGAATTTTATGTATACTTTGCATTATATTATGACTTTTATGACCGACGGAATGCAAATTATGTTTTATGTATGCGTGCGACTACTCGGTGTGTTTTACATAAAAAATCTTTAAAATGACTTTAAAATTAGATTAAAGTCTATTATTCATAATGAATGTGTGTATTAAGAAGATAT